GTCACGAGAGGCTGGGCACTGTGCTGGCCCAGAGGAGAACATGGCCCCTGCCTGGAGGAGCTTAGCACATGGAATGCACTGGGAGGTCTGTGGAAAGGGTCCATCTTAACGGGGTGGGCGCTTTTCAGTATAATGGGAGAGCGATAGCATTTTCACTGATAATGGTTAGCACTTGTGGGCATTGTGGAAGCTGGCGCACAATGGGCCCTAAGAAAGGCAGGAAACAGGAGAATGATAGATTGGGGTTTCTCTGACCTTTGCTGACAGCAGGGTCTGTAGGTGCCTTGGGATAGCTGTTTACACCCCTTGAGTTCTGTTCTATGCTATTTCTTATTGAAACTTACCTTTTTAGTAGCAACTAATCCTTGCCAAAGGAGGGAGGGTAGCGAGAGAGGAAGAGGGGTCATCTACTTACCGACCCAACTACACAGACAACTGGGAAGTCAGGTGATTAGCAGCCGTTGCTCAGACATTTCCAGGAATCAGAGGGTGCAAGAACAGGGTGCCTTGCTCTGGCCTAAGAACGGGTTCCAGAGACAGCCTGGCCTTGCTGTCTTCTTGCCTCAGCAGGGACTGGTCTTACCAGGAGGCCTCAAAGCCTTGGCAGTGATTGAGAAGCTTGAGATGATGCCTCATTATCCCCATTGGCTTTCAGACCGAGCTTTAATTCAGCAGAATCACATGGCTGGACTACAATTTCCCTGATCCTTAAGGGAAGGAGCAGACTCGTGTTTCCCAAAAGCACATCCCTGTCCCTCATGCATGGCTTGCCCAGGACATGATTTCACTGACAAGTGTCATCTGATCTTTGAAATGAAAGATTTGTCTGTGATTCTAATTTGGGGTGTTGCCCATTGTGTACTTGGAGAACAAGGGACGTTGTGGCTTAATCAGAAAAGATTATTTCATTAGGCTGGCAGTAATGGTATGCACATCGTGACTATTAATAGCTGAGAACTATTGTCTAGATAAATAATACTTTCCCAATTCTGAAAGCTGCCTGTTTATTACATAAATGCAATTTCCCGTCGTTACTAGGTTTTCCTTACTTTCAAAAAATGCTTAAAACTGTACGAAGAGGTTTTATCATATCCATCTCCATGCTCCTCTCTCTTCTTACAAAACACCAGGGCTTTGTCATACAGGAAGAGGTGCCTCTGCATTGGTTTGAACCTGGCAAGATCCTTCATTTTTGTAGGGCCTTTCCGGTGTCCTGCCCAAACACTGAACGATCCTTGCATCAATACTTTTCCAAGTTCACTCAAGTCCCCCTGGTAATAACACAGCAAATAAATAATCACCAGTTAAAAATTTAAAATATGCACTGTAACAGGGTGGTCTGTCCCCTTTAAGGGCAGGTGGGGCCCAGGGCCAGCCAACCCTGTCCCAAGGCCTGGTTGCTCTGAGAATAAGTCCCCCTGGAAGGATCAGCAGACCAAGCTGGAAATGGAGGCCAATTGCCAGAAGTGATGCACAGAACAAGGAAGGAGGGCTGTAGTTACCCTGTTCCAAGGAGAAGAGGTCCACTGGGGGAAGAATTTGGAAGCTGTGGAAACTTATCAGGAGTGATACACAGCTGAGGAGAGAGGGCTGTGAATACCCTGTTCCAAGTTCACGGGGGGAGTAATTTGAACCCAATTTGAACCTAGGAAATATCCAAGGGGAAGGACTTTCTGGAGAAGCCAGGGTCTGGAGTGGGACCAGCAGAGCTTCCCTGCTTAGGGGGAACAAGAAACCATGACCTGAAGCCTCAGGAAGGACAAGGGTTTGAGCCCGGAAATGTCCAAAGGAACGGTGTTTCAAGAGGATTTAATAAATTAGACCCCAAGAGGGAAATTCTATGAAAAAGCCCTGACAGTGGGTGAGTTATTGGGTGAACCAGGAGGGAAACGGAGATTGTGCCACAAAGTGGCTTTGCTCTGGGACTGCACCTGCAACTTGCCCTTTGCATGAAAACAAAAAAAGGAAGTGTTTACCCAACTAATGCAATTAGAGGAAAGATCGACACCCGGAAGAGTTTTCTCATCCTATTCATTTTGTAACTGTCTTGTCTACTATACTTTTTAACGTCATATTTATTCACTTTAGATTCTATTCATTCCCTAAAACAACAAGGAGTCTGGTGGCACCTTAAAAACCTTGTTGTTTTTGTAGATACAGACTAACACGGCTACCCCCTGATTCTTATTCATTCCCTGTCTGTTTGGACATTCCCACTGAGATGCCCAGAACTTTGGAGTAAAAGGTTTTTCATTACCCAGATGTACTTACATCATATCCTGTTATTGAAATTTGATGCATAGAGTCATTGACTGATTTTAGTAAATCCAACATTGCAACCAGAGCTTCTTGCAACTCTTTAACTCCATCGCAGCTTGTGCTGTATTTTAGCAACTCCTGTAATTAGAAATCAAAGGCTATGTGTTTTTACTTGAGTGTAACACATTTTCTCCATTGCCCATGAAATTGCAATAATTCAGAAGCCAGTGTATCCTTTATTTTGTATCTTGGGGGAAATGGAACATTTGAAATACATTCACTGTTGTAAGGAAAATGTGTCACATAAGCACCACATTCACACACAGCATTTTTCTTGGCTTCATTAAAGACAGTCAGTGTTGGTTCAGGGGAGGTCAGATTCAACTATCCTCCCAGAGTTCTTTGAAGATATTGCTGCTGTGATAAATAAAGGACATGCAACCGAGACAATAGGTTTCACACATCAGAGAATAATATTCTAGGAAAAGAGAGTCATAGAACAGCGGCTAAAATAAGATACCAAACAGAAGACTATCCTAACAGTGGGAGACCCCAGATAACTATAGATGAAAACAATGGACAGAGGCAGTAAGTGAGTAACCAAGGTGTCAGTGTTTAGAAATTGTATTATCCATAATATATACACATACAAAGTTACATTATATAGCCGATCTCTTTCTCTCTCTCAGTTATAACTTTGTATGTACATCCCTCCACCTGAGAGGAAGGATAGTCCAGTGGTTAGGGTGCTAGCGTGGCCCTTGGGAGACTTGGGTTCATTTGCCTGCTCTTCCATAGACTTCCCGTGTGACCATGGATAAGTCACTTAGTGTCTCTGTGCCTCGGTTCCCCTTCTGTAAAATAGGGACCACGGCCTTTCCCTATGTCACAGGAGCGTTGCAAGAACAAATACACTAAAGTCTGTGAGGCACTCAGCTAGGATGGTGATGGCTGTCATAGAAATACCTAAGAAAAAGTAGACATGCCAATGTGGTAAATTGCATTTATCATGCTCCTTTGACCATCGTATCTACTCATAGTTCCATTTCCTGCAGGATTCATTTATTCCATATCACTGAGCAGATTCAAACAACCTTTTCCCTCCTAAAAATAACTTGTTACAAATACTTGTTTCCTCCTCCAATATGCAATTTTTTCTCCCCATAGAATTTCTCAGTTTTGAAGCCAAGGCTAAGCCGTATTCAGACGAGCCTATCACAGGTTTAAAGGTAAAGGTTAAGGGGATGGGGAGAGGGAGAGGGAGATATTGGATGGGTGGCTTTGTTCACGCTGTGTAAAGCATTCCTGACAGTAAAATAAATACAGGTATTTGGGTTTTTTTTCCTTGTTTCTGATTTAGAAAGTCAGGTCTTGTCTACCTTGGAAAGCTGAAGAACTAATATACCAAGGAAGCGAAACCTGATTCGTTAAAAGGAGGTGTCAGTTTTAACATTATTTAGTAAAGAACACTTGGCCAAAAAGCTCGCTTTATTAAATATTCTGAATTTATATCTGTTCAACTCAGGGCTGAAAAAGATCCCAGTCTACACTTCTAGGTCATCCAACAAAAATAAGGAAGGTAAGACTTGATATTCCTGATATTTCTAAGGTTAAAAAAACCTAAGCAACTCCTCCCCCTTTATTCAAATAGTCAGGCCTTCTTCAGACATCATAACAGTGCTCTGCATAAGGGCTTAATGACTGCTGCAATTTTAAGAATGATCCAGTAAGTCACCAGCCACGTGAGTGAAGAGAACAGCAAACAAGTCTGCAATTCTGTTCCTGGGGAAGTTGCTAAGAGGTGCAGTAATAACAAGACATTCTCAGACTTCAGTAGTACAGTACTTTGAGTGTCCTGTGGCACCTTTGAGACTAACAGAAGTACTGGGAGCATAAGCTTTCGTGAGTAAGAACCTCACTTCTTCAGATGCAAGACTTTGAGTGTTGCCCTCAGTATACACCAGACATCAAAGAGAATTTTAAAACTCTCGAACAGCCACCAGCAATGTCCCAGATTTAAGGCCTAAGCATTCCTGGAGATGGCTAGTGAATATCCATTAGTCTAGACCTCCCCTCCGTTCCCTATGCTTTAAAAAAAGACATATGAATACCTTCAAAAGCAACTGGTATTTTGTCAAACGTTGTACTGGTTTGAGCAAATAGGAATCCAGCCCAAGTCTGTGTTCTAATTTTCTTTGGCATTCCTGTAACAAAGAAATAGTATAAAGTAAACATGCAGACAAATGTATAACAAGATCCAACGGTTGAAAGTTGAAACCAGCCAAATTTGGACAGGAAATAAGGCGCAATTTTTTAATAGTGAGGGGAATCAACCATTGGGACAAGTTACCAAGGATTGTGCAGGATTCTCCGTCATTGGTAAGTTTTCAATCAAAATTGGATTTTTTAAAGATAGGCTCTAGTTCAAACAGGAATTATTGTAGTGAAGTTCTCTGGCCTGTGTTACACAGGAGGTCAGACCGTATGATCACAATGGTTCTATCCAGCCTTGAAATCTATGAATAGGATGCACAATAATTTACTATGCTACACGCCATATGTTCAAGTAACTGTGGTTGATATTAATGGGGGATTTCCGACACGTATAGAATGGTGAATAAGGTTGCAATGCTAAGGACATGAATGCTGCATTTTGCAAAAATAATTCACGTACGCTGAAGTATGCTTTGCACATGAATAATTAGCATACCTGAAAGAAGGTGCTTTCTGAACACTGCCTCCACAGAGATTCTGACCGAGGTTTGTTCTGACAATATTTCTCATACATCTGAAAATCTTCTCGCTGCAAGAAGAATAAATAAATCAATTTTAAAACATACGCACTCTAGAACGTCTTACTTATGACAACTGTAAGGCAGAATAAGGTGAGCACCAAATGCTCTTCTTAGCTTCTATTTCACTTGCAAATTGGAAGAATACATATTTTAAAAAAACAACCAGATAGATGGGAAATAAGAGTCACTCCCTAAAACTAGGAGATTCTTACACAGTAGACAGGTCTATTGCCAAGCCGGCTGCTTTTCCCCATATGTTGCTGGACATGTGAGCACAATACATTTTTAGCTTAGATGCTCTGTTTGCTCCCCCAGACCAGAAGAGCTCTGTGTAGCTCAAAAGTGTGTACCTTCCACCAACCCACGCTGGCCAAGTAAAAGATATTACTTCACCTACCTTGTCTCTCTCCCATAAATACAGTGTCCGGTGGTTGCTATTTTATATAGAAAGCATCAAGTTGAGGAACGCTAAGTATCAGGGGGAAAATGCAGTTTACAAAGTCTGTTCTAAATACAACAATTGATTCACTAACCCTTTCCAGGAAACAAAGCCCCACTCGCTCTGGTGCTCCAACACAGCTTTCCAGATTGTGTAGGAAAATTCTGAAAGAGGTTAAGGGAGAGATACAATGTGACTGTGAATGCCACAGCACCTGAGCAGTCTGTTTGTAAGGGGATCTCATAAAGAAAGGGAATATACAGCTAGTTACCTACTTGTTATGGAAGTCATATATCTCTGGCATATTCCCAAAGAGAACATCCTCTCTGTTTCTCAGGGCAGGCGGCATGAGAATGACCATCGCTGGATTATCCATTTCAGCCCTGTAGCCCTGTAGAACACAGCAGGTAGTCATGATTAGGCCTGTATAAGCCTGGTTTATTGCCACATTAAAGACTAGATGGAAAGAAACATGACTATCGGTTCAATAAAATGTACGTTGTTACAAAATGCTACTTTTCTTTTCTTTCTTTTTTTAGTCCCCACATCTTCTCGATTTCCCCGATCTTTTTCTTTGAATTTCCCTCGCCCTCAGAGGTTGAGTATTAGTGACATTTGTCTGATGGGGAGGGCTTCACATTTCATCAGACAGCACGAGGAAGTAGCTACAGAGCAACATGAGATGTTCCTGCACCTAGGGGTTGAATATGATGCTTCCGCTCAGCATCATTCCCTGTATGTGACAGGGCAAGGAGACCAGGACCAAATCTGGGAACAGAATTCAGAGCTCTCACACGGAAGAAAATTGCTCTACTGTTAGGGATCCAGGTTGCCCTCTCATCTACATATACACATGAATGGCTTTGGTCTGTGTTTACACATTATGTAACAGTTGATTTCAGAAACTTTTAGATCTACAATGGGATAAGGAAAGTACACACAGACACGCCCATTAAAACACCATTTATTCGGAGACATGCTGTATTTTGATAAGACAAACTTTCATTGGCATCTCTCTACAGCACAATGGAGGGAGAGGTCCTGGAGGAATAGTTGTCTTGGTTACACATCTGCTGTTATGACTGCAAGACACATCACTGACAACTTGTTAAATGGAAAACAATTAAAGATACTCTCGCAAGGTCTGATGTGGTGGGAAATTTGTAACAAAGCAAAAGACTGCTAGATATCAAATAACATCAATGGGCTTTTTTGCTGTTCAACAATACACTCTCGGAACACCAGATCCCTTTCTCCTTGATTCTTGCTGCCTAAGGTTTTTTTTCCCCTCTGTTACAGCATCTGATCCTTGAAATCAACTGCATTTTCCAAAAGGGAATCTGCGCTAAGTAACCTGACAGTGGCATAAGGGATATTATTGTACTGTAAATAGTTATATTTTATTACTAAATTAAAGTACAGCACTCTACGTTAAGGTCACATTAGAACACCATTGCAAAAAATATTTACCAATTGTGTCATCCCTGGAAAGAGACAATAACTTCAAGGAGAACTAACACAAAAGAATAAACGGCTCAGGAAAAATGAACAGGGACTGGGCAGAGCTTTGGACTGTCCCTGTTATTGTCTCTAAGCTTGGTATATAATTTTTTTGTGAAAAAGATAACAAGTAGCCAGTCTCAGGGACAGTTTCTAACTACGGGTGCAGACACATGTGGCTTCCACAGAATTCACTGCATGCTTCACACAACTGATGACAAAATGTGGCCCATATAATGGATCTAGTCAACCAGTTAGGAGTAATGAATTCAGTAATATATAACTTCACCTACATCAGCTTTGAAATGTGTGTCTTTTGCACAACTGCTTATTAGCAATGCTGGCATATCTTACATTAAATATGAATTTACTACTGACTTTAAGATGCAGCGGGAACATAAATCTTGAGTCAGCTTAGTGGAAATCAATCATTTCAGTTTTAATCACCATTACCAGGCCTAGCTATATAAAATGCCATGTCTCCGGAAGAAATGGATGTTTGCAGAAAAGCTTGGGGCTGGGAGGAGAGAGAGGGGATTTCAGTCTATCAAGCCGGTATATTATATTATATACACATACATATACATTCATGTATTTGTGCATATGATCAAATTGCAGCTTATTTTGTATATTTCCTCTCCAACCATTGATAAAATTAGTTACCAAGACATGCGTTCGTGAACTGAAGGTTTCACACAAATTATAGATTAAAAGCTTGTACTGACACATACTGTGCACATGTCGTCTGAATCAAAATGATGGGAGAAAAATTCAAGATCACCTAGGATATGACAGCAAAGTAGAAATTGACCAAATCACATTTTTGTTTAATTGGCCAGATGCTTTTCAGAAAACACATCAGAGAGCAGTCACGAGGAATTTGTAAGTAACTCACCATCAAAACAGTGAACAGTTCCTCTACGTACACTCTCTCTGTTTCTATTAGCTCATTTATGACATGGCTGAAATAAAAAAAACAATCAGAAATGCTCCATCTACGTTTGCAGGGTTGAGCTATTGCATTTCAATTTCACGGTAAATATGCCTGAAATTAGCCACACTCTAACAATTAGGGGCAGAATGAGTACAGATGCAGTAGGACAGGTAATGAGTAACAGGTTAAATCCATCTCAGATCAGAGGGCCATATGCACCTTAAATGCGGAATTAAGGGTTTTGTTTGGGCCCTTTGCTCTTTATGTGCACTTTATTTATACTTGGTGAATTCTGAGTGACCATTTAACCACCTGCATGCCTGTATTTTATTGTAAAGACCAACTTGGTTGTGTAACAAACCATTAATTTTAATGTGTCCATTTTCTATCAATAAAGTATAACACCCAAACAGATTAAAATAAAATAAATTAATTAATTAATGGAGATATCCTATCTCCTAGAACTGGAAGGGACCTTGAAAGGTCATCGAGTCCAGCCCCCTGCAGGACCAAGTACAGATTTTGCCCCAGATCCCTAAGTGGCCCCTTCAAGGATTGAACTCACAACCCTGGGTTTAGCAGGCCAATGCTCAAGCCACTGAGCTATCCCTCCCCCCACTACACATCACTACTCACTACACATCAAAAAATTGGCTGTTCTTAACAAATTTCACTAAAGGATCATTTTCTGAACTGTATTTTGAGGGGAATTACTATGTTAAAATTCAGAATTGGGAATGGGATGGGATGTTAGATGGGGTGGGATTTGAGTTACTACAGAGAATTCTTTCCTGGGTGCTGGCTGGTGAGTCTTTACCACATGCTCAGGGTTTAGCTGATCGCCATATTTGGGGTTGGGAAGGAATTTTCCTCCAGGGCAGGTAGGCAGAGGCCCTGGGGGTTTTTCGCCTTCCTCTGCAGCGTGGGGCATGGGTCACTTGCTGGAGGATTCTCTGCACCTTGAGGTCTTTAAACCACGATTTGAGGACTTCAATAACTCAGACATAGGTTAGGGGTTTGTTACAGGAGTGGGTGGGTGAGATTCTGTGGCCTGCGTTGTGCAGGACGTCAGACTAGATGATCATAATGGTCCCTTCTGACCTTAATGTCTATGAGTCTATGAGACCTGGTTCATTTAAGCTTAAAAAAGTAGCACTGTGTTTTAGCCTTGAAAAAGGATTTTGAACTTCTTAGGCTCTCTCCCCATGTTTCCCTAAATGCTGCATGTTCCCAGTTCTTCTGAGCACCAACAAAATCTTGGCCAAAAAGGATCTCTCTCAAAGTGAGGCAAACGTAGTGCATTCTCAAAAGACTGCATTCAGAACATGGTGAATAGCAAGGGTTTACAGAAGACAACACGGAGGGCTTGTCCATGCTACCCCTTAAATCGATGTAACTTACGTTGCTCAGAAGTGTGAAAAAGCCACTCCCTGAGTGATGCAAGTTACATCGACCTACGCATCGTCCATGCCAACGCTAAGTCAACACGAGACACTCTCCCGCTGACATAACTTCCGCCTCTCACTGAGGTGGAGTAATTATGCTGATGGGAGAGCGCTCTCCTGTTGGCATAGCGCGTCTTCACCAGACACGCTACAGTGGTGTGTGGTAGTGAAGACTAGCTCTGAGGTTGACCCTTGGAAGGTGCTACAGTGACTGCTACTCTATGTATGTGTTCTCTAGACTCATTCAACGGGATGGATGTTGTCAACCTCAAAAATGCTTTGGACATGCAGTGAAAGGACAGCACTTTTCCATGTCAACAGCTCCTTCAAATTCTTTAAAAGCACTAAGTCTGTGCTCACATCCAAAGAACAGCTTGGTATATTTTAGTAACTTTAAACTCTTGCCTATTCCCTAGGACTCTTCCAGTTGTGCTACTAGCCTCAGGAGTCTGTCAACGTGA